GATCGTCTGCGAGGGAGGCGAGGAGAGCGGGACGAGGAGGAGGAGGAGGAAGAGGAGGAGGAGGAGAGGAAGATGATGAGGAGGAGGAGAGCGGGAGGAGGGAGCGAGGGGGGGCAGGAAGAGGAGGAGGAGGAGCAGAAGGAGGAGGAGGCGGAGGAGGAGGAGGAGGAGAAGGAGGGTTTGTCGGACTGGGCCGCGCCGAGAAGGAACACCCTACACTTTCTGCCAGTCCTCTTCCACACTCTGAGTTTACTCAGATTATTACGATTATGATGATGGTGCTGACGGTGGATATGACGATGAATAATGATGCTGCTGCTGATGATGCTGATGATGATGTTGATGATTGAGCTGATTATGATGGTGATGCTGCTGATGACTATGATGTTGTTGTTGTTGATATTGTTGTCGTTGTTGTTATGGTTGCTGCTGTTGTTGTGGTTTTTGTTGTTGTTGTTGTTGCTGCTGCTGCTGTTGTTGTGGTTGTTGTTGTTGTTGTTGTTGTTGTTGTTGTTGTTGTTGTTGTTGTTGTTGTTGTTGTTGTGTTGTTGTTGTTGTGGTTGTTGTTGTTGCTGTTGTTGCTGCTGTTGTTGTTGTTGTTGTTGTTGAACATTATTTATTCTAAAGAATAATTATTGTTGGGCCCCCTGGTGCACGGCCCCCCTGCGCCGCCTAGGCCGCAGCTACATTTTCATCATTTTCGTGAGGAAGCCTCAGGTAATACGATGTCATCAAGATCCGGTTGTTTTGTTGTAATCCGTTTTCCCTTGCAAAAAACACTATAAAATGACATTTCTTGTTCTAATATAATCAAATTTCAAGAATCCCTTGCAAAAAATAAGGTAAAGTGGACATTCGCGCGCGCAAGACGAAATCCTTCCAAAAGCTTAGTGTTCGGAGCGATTTTAACATAAAAACATCAAAAAACCAATGGTTTTTCAACAAAAAAATGTCAAAATCTCATCCCGCGCGCTCTTGCGGATTCGTAGGAAACCCAACACTTTTTAAACATTTCTGTCAAACGGGCTTTTGCGAGCAACTTTTTCGAACTTCTGCGACAACGGTTGCGCACCTGCCAGGGCCATCATCCCTGTCAAATAATACCATGCGGGACACATTCGTTTTTTCTTCGCGCGCGCACGCCGAAATCTCCAAAAACCATTGGGCTTCTTAAGAATTTTAGCACCGCGCATCATAAAATCACACGAATCGCACCGTAGGTCCTCGAAAAACACCTGCACGCTACCGTGGAAGGCTTAACAACTTCTAGGGGTTAACAAGGCTTAAGAACTTCTGTGGGTGTACGAACGTAGGCTTAACAACTTCTGTGGGTGTGTACTCCACGCCAGTGTAGTAGCCACGGTCGTCCGCAGGCCACGAAGTGAAGTGTCCGAACGTCATAGGGCGGGAAGCTGGGTGTGGGTGGTGGCGAAGAGTCGTGTGGATATTTGGTAGAGCTTGCATTGCCCCCCCACAAAGTGGGGGTATTGGCTGGCGTCGCATGAAAACCCTGGCACTGGTGAGAACACTGAGCGTTCGGGTAAAGTGATTGTTGTTGTTGTTGTCGTTGTTGTTGTTGTTGTTGTTGTTGAGGATGCTGATGATGTTGTTGTTGTTGTTGTTGTTGTTGTTGTTGTTGTTGTTGTTGTTGTTGTTGTTGTTGTTGAAGATGATGCTGATGGTGATGCTCCCAAAACCGCAAAAACGCTGGCGTTTGCGAGAAATCGTCGAGGCCCCAAGCTAAAGCCAGCTGGCACGGTCGCCCGCCGGCTTGGCGCTTATGCGAGAAGCCCGCAGGGTCCTAGGCTAAAGCCAAGCAGGGTTGTTTTTGGCTCATCCGGCGCTTGCGAGAAGGCGATTGAGCCCCAGGTGGAAACCGGCTGCTATCTCAACCAAGCGGGTTCCGCTTACTCGAGCAGCCGCTCCCCCCCGAAGGTAATGCGGGGCGGGCGGTGGCCGTCGAGTCGATTTGATTCGCAGAGTGGGGTCGGGGGGGGTCGCCCCTCCCCAGGGGGGGGGGGGCGGTGTTCCCAGGCTCGGAGCGGCATCTCCCTCCGTTTTGGCCGCGAGCCTTCGTTGGGCTTGCTTTCCCCACTGCCCCCCCAGGGAAGGGGCGCTCGCCCATTGGCGGCTCGCTGCGGGGGGCCCCCTGTCCCATTTTCGTCGGCGACCGCAGTGTTTCCCGCGCGGGCCAATTCTGCATTTGGGGGGAGGGGGCAGGTCCAGTAGTCACTTCGCTCTACCGTGCCGCCCTTTCTAGTTATGATGTTGGTGTTTATGCTGTTGCGCTGCTGCTACTGGTGCTGGCACTGCTGGTATTACCTTTAGTGCTACTTCTGAGGCTCGTGCTGTTCACATTGCTACCCTTATTGTAGTGATCTTGCTAGTGTGTGCTGCTTGTGACAGTGCTACTATGGCTGAGGCTGATACCGCTTGCTGATGTCGTTGATGGTCGGGGGACTTTGGCAGCTTATATTGCTGCTGCCCAGTGGTGCCGGGGCCACCGCTGTTGCCATTGCTACTGCTGGCGGTCCCGATTGGTTTCAGTTGTCGCTGACGCTGCTGGCACAGGTGCTGCAGCTTTCTCGCCTTTGCAAGTCTTGCTGGCTGCTGGCGGTATCAGAATTATGCAAGTGCTGCCATTGCTGCTTTAATTCTTGCTGTTTGTGTTAGGCTGCTGTTGCCGATGCCGTCGTGGTGTGTCCGCTGCGGATCTTGCTCTCAATGATGTTAGTGCTGATGTCATGGGTACTGCTGTCATCGCATACGTTGCTGTTGTTGAACGCAATGCGTCTCAACTGTTTGCTTGCAATTCTGCTGATACTGCCTGTTGCTATTTTTGGAGGTGCTGCTGCTAATGTTTGTGATGGTGCTGGTGCTGCTTACGCTGTCGTTTGGTGCTGGCACGGATGAATTGTTGCTGATTGTCCGGTTCTACAAGCTATGATTCACGCTTCGCGTATCCCCACCAGCCCATTCAGAAACCCCGCCCATGCTAGCTGACGGGAAAAACTGACAAAGAGACCCATACATTGAAACAAAAAGGGCAACGAGGGTGACTAGAGAGATCCCTTGGAGCAATAGGGTGGCCTTGGAGGACCTTTTCGGGCCATTCCTCAGGCCCGTGTGGGGGAGGGGGGAAGGAGGAGGAGGAGGGGGAGGAGGAGGAGGAGGAGGATGAAGACGACGACGACGACAACGACGACGACGACGACAACGATGACGACGACGACGACGAGGATGGACGACGGACGACGGACGACGGACGACGGACGACGGACGACGGACGACGGAGGACGGAGGACGGAAGACGACGACGACGACGACGACCACGACCACGACGACCACGCCCACGACCTCGACCACGACCATTTTACCACGACCACGACCACAACCACGACCACGACCACGACCACGACCACGACCTCTAAAAAGAAGAGCACAGGGGAAAGTTGAGACGATGGCGGCAATGACGAGGGCGAGGACGAGGAGGAGGAGGAGGAGGAGGAGGAGGAGTGTGACAACGAAGACGAGGACAGAGCCCTCAACATCGCCAGTTGGAGCCCTTTCGGGACTCTTTTGGAGGATTTTCGGGGGTCTAGGGGCCCTCTTGGGGCTCTCTTGGGGCCTTGTTGTGGGCCCTGGATGCCCCCTTGGGGCCATCTTGGAGGCTATCGATCAAAGAGGGGGGTCACGATTTGCGTATCCCCCCCTGGGGCCATCAAGCTCTCTTTCTGGGGCGCTCGGCGCTCTAACCCCTCTGCCCTCCCCGTCCAGGTCCAGTGACGGGGGGGGGGTAAACCTCCCCGAAGAGACGAGGGTTTTTACCTAACAGCGAAGACTGATAGGTTTCTAGTAGTCTTAAAAGAGAGCAGCAGATGACTCCACAGGGGGGTCTGGGCGGGTGCCGGACAGGGTGCCGCAGAAGTCGTTTTAAGCCAACAGTCGCACACTTCGTGCTCTTCGACCTCCCAGAACTCCATTCCCGGGCCACATTCTGAATGCCCGGAGCCAACTGTAGGCCACTTCGTGCTCTTCGACTTCCCAGAACTCCATTCCCGGGCCACATTTTGAATGCCCGGAGCCAACTGTAGGCCACTTCGTGGTCTTCGAGTCCCCAGAACTCCATTCCCGGGCCACATTTTGAATGCCCGGAGCCAACTGTAGGCCACTTCGTGCTCTTCGAGTTCCCAGAACTCCATTCCCGGGCCACATTTTGAATGCCCGGAGCCAACTGTAGGCCACTTCGTGCTCTTCGAGTTCCCAGAACTCCATTCCCGGGCCACATTTTGAATGCCCGTAGCCAACTGTAGGCAACTTCGTGCTCTTCGACTTCCCAGAACTCCCTTTCCTGGGCCACATTTTGAATGCTGAGGCAGGCTGATGCTGCGGTCGAGGCAGGCTGGGGCTGAGGCAGGCTGAGGCTGAGGCCGAGGCTGAAGGCAGACTGAGGCTGAGGCTGAAGCAGACTGAGGCTGAGGCTGAGGCAGGCTGAGGCTGAGGCTGAGGCAGGCTGATGCTGAGGCAGGCTGAGGCTGAGGCTGAGGCTGATGCAGGCTGAGGCTGAGGCAGGCTGAGGCTGAGGCCGAGGCTGAAGGCAGACTGAGGCTGAGGCTGAAGCAGGCTGAGGCTGAGGCTGAGGCAGGCTGAGGCTGAGGCAGGCTGAGGCTGAGGCTGAGGCTGAGGCTGAGGCTGAGGCTGTGACTGCGACTGCCGTTGCCGCTGCGACTGTCATCGCGAATGCGACTACGACTGCGAGAACAGCAGAATTCTACAACTGGATTTTCATTTGAATCTTAAGGGGAATGCTTTCAGATATGCTTCTACACATCGCTGTTAGGTTGCTTTGCCGGGATAATTACCTAACAGCTTGTTCTGATAGGTTTCTAGTGGGTCAAAAGAGAGCAGCAGATGACTCCACAGGGGGGTCTGGGCGGGTGCCGGACAGGGTGCCGCAGAAGTCGTTTTAAGCCAACAGTCACACACTTCGTGCTCTTCGA